CGCATGTTTCCTGCAGAAAGAGCCTCTGTCTTGCTGCAAGTAGTGAAATATTCAGCCAAAAACTGTAATCAAGCAGCAGAAAGAAAATTTGTAGTGAGTGACAAACTTGTGAGGGACTGACAGAAAGCGGGGATGGAGAACACAGCTTCACGATAACCGGGAGGATGCACCATGAAACTTTCCTGGAGTCACTGGATGGACAAAGCCTGAACTTCAATCACACTGAAACCATCCTGTCTGGATTCAGAAAGGCTGGAATAATTCTAACTGGAACTGATGCTGAGTCTGACGACAGCGACACAGAAGAGGAAGCGACGCTCTGTTTACCTCCGGAGGTCGAGGCCGAGTTACTCAGAAGTGACACCGAGGATGAAGAATTGAATGGATTTAGTGATTTGGAGTGAGATGGAGAGTTTGTTAAACTTGTTCTGTTGTTTATGTTATAGTTTATCTGAAGAACTGTTCATATGTGACGTTAACAGTCTGTTGTTCTCTCTTCTATTGTTTTTACTAGGATGTGATTTTCAAGAGGAAATGTCAGTTCCTGGTCTCTGATTTTATAAAATACATTTCCCCCAAAAAGTGCAACTTATATATGTTTTTTTCTTCTTCATTGTGCATTTTTTGGCTGGTGCGACTTATTCTCCAGAGCGACTTATAGTCTGAAAAACACGGTAAATAACTGCGTTTCAAAATGTTTTAATGTACATTCAAATGACAGATTAACTTAAATTCCTCCTTCTGTATACTTAGCTATAATCATTTCTTTATATCTTCGTTTAAACATTTTCATATTTGGGCAATTTTTGAGCTCATCACTCAGAGTCCCAGATTTTTACCCCAAAAACAGAAATACAACAACTTTTCCTTGTTGTTCAAACTCTGGACATTTTAAAGAGATGCATTTTCCTTAAATTATAAACACTTTCTCTTTCAATAAAGTGTTTCAGAATATGTTTGGTCTCCATGAAGATAGGCGGAAGGTTTAATGCCACACTGTGAAACATTCCAGACAAAGTAATGACATCTCCATGGAGAAAACTGATTCCATTTGACAGATCCTCCACCAGAAAAGTTACACGATGCACCTCTAATGTTCTCAAGCAGGGTCCTGGTGCTGAGAGCGGTGACATAGTGCCCTCCAGTGGGACAGGGGAGTACTACAATCACCTCAGAATGAAATGTATTATTATGATGATTATGATTATTATTACTTTATTTTGATACTATTCCTTTTAATTTTTTTGTCTTCTGAAAATTATGAAAATGAATGGTATAAAAAGGAGGGGAAAAAAAAGAATGAAAGAAATACCAAATATCGAATTGGGTGATGATGACTGATCAAGATTAAATGATTATTAACAGCAGAAAAGAGAAAAATGTGTCTGAGAAATACCACAGTTAACGGTTTATATCCACCAGCTCTGCACTATGCACAAAATCATAGTCTCCATGTAGTTTATAATACAAAAATGTGACTTTATTTTAAAAATCTGTCAGGTTGCATTATGTTTGCTGAGAGCTGTGTGACATAATGTCTGAGGAAATTCTGTTTTTGATTTTTGATGAAGGAACAAAAGCACATTTCTACTGTACTGCGTGTGTGTGTGTGTGTGCGTGTGTGTGTGCGTGCGTGCGTGTGTGTATGAAAAATAAACTCTTATCTGTTTATTCATAAAACATCAGTGTTGTGAAATGACCTTGTTTAAAGACCACATTTACACATTTCCGTTGTGCTGTATGTGGGTGACAGATTAACTGTTGTTTTATCTCTGATTAATCATAAACATGAGGGTAGTGAAATGACCTTGGCCAAAGACCAAAACCAGCATCAGATGAGTTTAAAATGTAAACTACATTGCATTTCTTGTATAATGTGTTCTAAGAGCAAAAAAATTTAACAAATGTAATATAGCAACTGTATTGTTTGTACTTTCATAAATAGTTTAATGTTTTATGATGGAGGTGATTAGTCTGACTGTTATTCAAGTTAAGTCAATACATTTTGTGTCAGTCAACCCTAAAAGAACACATATTATGTATTTTTGTGGCTTTAACTGACCTTGGTATATGTATTTCACATTTTCTAACTTAAAATAATGTCTGCAAAACTCATTTTTATAAACTACATCTCCCACTCACACATGCAGCTGTTGGAGCTCCCTCTGCTGTCAGCAACTGGAATTAACATTTCCAAAGTTCAGTCCTTATTTCCTGTAAATGCTGCGCTGATAGAGCCATGCTTTTGACCGCATAATCCGGAAATGGTTTTTAAAACTGGACTCAGGAGAAGTCCAGAGTTTATCTATGACGCAACTAAACACGCAAAATGTGAACTGAGCATTTTTGAGTTTCATGAAACAAAAGTGAATGAAAAAAAATACAAGTCCAAGTGTGTTTTTGATGATGTGGCAAGAATAAAACAGGAGAAAAAATGTAGCATAATATGTGATATTTAGTGTGTTATTGTTAAACATGAGATTTATTAACTCTTTCCCCCTTGGACGCCCACTAGGAACAAGCCATACATACATGACTAGGGCTAAACATAGAGCATAACTGCATAAAAGAAAACAGACTTCCACAAGTGATCATAAATGATTTTCACACTCATGAACTTAATTGAAACACAGACAGATTTGTTATCTCTGGAAACTTAGACTCTGAACTCTTCGTTTATGGATGTTTAAATGTGATTCAAATCATTTACAGGTTTATAACAGCTCACTGTAAATGAGAGTTTACCTGGTCAGGTGCAAAATCGAAAACTACATTCAGCATCTGATATTTGCATGTTCTGAGTACTATATTCAACAACAACAAAAAATCAAAATATATTTGTCAAAGCATTTAAACAGATTTCATATCATCAGATACAGTAAAGCCAAGTGTGCACCTGTTTTTACCTGTTGTTCACCTGTGTGCACCTAATTTGTATTTTCCATTTAACTTAATCAACTAATTTAGCTTATTATAATATAATAATATAATAATAAAACTCTTCTCCGTCAGTGTGTGTCCAGTATTTGTCATCTTGGTTACTTTCTCGTGTGCGCAGAGCTCCGCATAAGCGTTTGTTTCTGTAGCGATTCTGTTATACATGTCATCTTGGGAAAAAAAAAGACTGAAATATTTCAAAGAGCAACATCCAGATTTCAGGACAATTTTGGTTCATAATCGAGTGTAAAGTCCCAGATAGTTTGTTCAGATATCGCAGGACTCCACACAGACACATCACTGACATTCTCACCTTTGTAAGTTTCACTCTCCGAAAGTCCGTCTCTATCGCTGTTTTCCACTTTATAACCAACTTCATCATCACTTTTGAAATCTATAAAAGTCACTTTCTCTAAACTTATCCATGAAATACGTCCGCTCCTCATTATTTCTAAAACTGTGCGCCGCAATCTTTCCATCGCTCGTGTTTCGTCAACAGTGAAACTCGCCTATTGCGTACACACAACCTTAACGAGTATTCTGGGATATGGAATTCCGAACACGTCTGGTGATGTATCTGGGAAATATATCTGATGTAGTAAGGAAGGAGGACATGTATTTGACAAAAATTGTTTTAGCTGCATCTAAAAAGGGAATTACAAAGAATTGGTTATAACAACAAGACTGGATCAGGATTGTGGAGAATATTTCAGTGACATATAATCTTAAATTTAAAGGTACAAATACGATGAGCAATGGGAAAGTGGAATGTGTTCATAAATGTCACCAGTAAAACAACATAGTACATAAAAATGTCTATACTAAATGCGTGTTTAAATAAGCACCAGTCTGTTGTTACATTATTTTTGATTTTCTATTGTTTTTGTATGTTTTGAAATGTTACTTAAAACTAATAAAAACAAAGTTATTAAAAAAAATTATAAAAACAATATTGTTAGACTAATATCATAGTTGCCCAAGTCATATTTGAATGTTTTCAGAAAACAAGAAAAAGCACATTTTTAAGCAAGCACATCGTAAAGTCAGGCAGATATTAGAATTTGGCCAAAAAAATGACCTAATAGGAGGGTTTCAGTCACATGATCATGATGATGCGTGAATTTCAGGTGGAGGGCAGGAAGTGAGGACAAACACGACAAACGCGGCTCTGGAGAACACAGATATGGAGAAGAGTTCTTATTGTAAGGATTTAGAGCCAGTAGCGAGGCAAAAGTACGAGCAGTTAGTCGACAAATATATTGGGCGTGACCCCGATCTTATTGAAAATGAGAGAATTTTCAACCGAAGTAAAAGATTTGCCGACAGTTGAGGCAGAGGAGATCACGAACTATTTAGCTCTTCAGACATCGTTCTACACCAGACAACAGATGAAGATGTACAAAAGTTTGGAGGCACAGAACTTTTTTTTCAGTGGATGGGTCCACAACCTTGGTGCAAAACGCCTAAATGATGATTATTATTTGGTTTTCGCCGGGGTGAGTGTTTCTCTTATTTTATGTGTATAGACGTTATGGAAACAACTGCAGTGTATCGGCAGTGACCTCTATCTGAACTATTTAATGTCAACAAACGTCGTTAGTCGTTAATGATTCGTTTATGTTTAGGTAAACCACAAAAACAATTTAGCTTTGTAACAAACCTTTGTCAAACTGGTCACTGCAGACACGAACATTAGCGAATTCTGCTCCTCCCGACCACAAACAGGTTTGTAATCCACTTTTTACGGCGATGTTCTGTCGGTTTTTCCCATTTCTGACCTTTGTGGACGACTATATTCTGTACTCTAAAAAAAAAAAAAATAAAAAATCGCTTTTCCTTCTCTCGGTTAGAACAATTGGCACAGCTGTAAACTACACAACACATCGGCATGTTCCTCCAGTCTGTTCACTTCCTGCCCTCCATCTGATTTTGCGTGCTGACAAACGTAGCCCTGTGACGTCACGTGAAACCCAGTTATTATGCTATTAGGCTAACAACAAATCTCTTTCATATATTTTACTTGTTGTTAGAGTCTTTGTGCTGAAATAATAACTCTCACTTACCTCTGTAGTGACGATCGTCTACAAAAATGAACAAGAGAAAGATATTAGTCTAAAAGATAAGCAGATGTATTATGAGCAGAGTTAGATTCTTACAGTGGCACACGGGCTTGGGACTGTCCCATTTGCCCATCTTGTTGCACTGCGTGGAGTTGCGTCCCACGAGGATGAAGCCGGGCAGGCAGCTGTAGTGCAGCGTGGCGCCCTCCGTCGGTGGACCCGGGGGCCACGACGTCACCCGGCCGTTCTCCAGAGACGTCCACATGCGGGGACACAGCAGCACTGGGGACAGGGACAGGACCATAAGAAACATAAATCTATAAATCAATAGAGGCTTTGCACCGTCACGTGACCCCTATATCAACGGTACCTACGCCGCCATGACACCGGGCAACACTATGTCATTGACTTCAGCAGCATCGGAGAAACATGGGCAGGTTTTGTTGTGTATTTGGTTGTTCTAGACGCTCTGAAAGGGATAAAACGATTCGTTTCTTCACTGTTCCTCTGGAAATGACTCATCAGGAGCTCAAACAAGGGAATTATTGAAAAAAAGACGTGGATTATAGCTAGCAAAAATAAACCATCAATCATCAAGGTATTCGCTATTTAAATTGTTTCATAGCTTATTTAATGAAAGAAACACATTTACTGAACAAAGAGTCATTAATTTATCCAGGAAAACCTGCACTAGTTTACGATTCAAAGAACTCACACTGGGCTCCTGTGATCAACATGACGCACGAGTCGAAGAGTCTGTGAGCCGAACCTCGAAAGAATCGGCCATGAAAAGATCCTCACGAACGTTAGAAAGATCCGCTCACAAAAAGCGATTAATTCTAGAAGACATAGTTGTGGATAAACAAGACAATAAAGAAAACATGGGTCCTACGACGAGTGACATGTTTATATGTGCGCTGGAAGATACAGTTTCTACTGCCACTCACACTGCAAATGTTTTCTTTTTACATTTTAGTTCAGTAAATGTGCTTCTCTCATTAAATAAGCTATGAAACTATTTAAATAACAAATACCTTGATGAAAGTGACGTGAGTGTGTCTTGATGGTACCATTGGAAATCTCTTCGTGGTTTATGTTCTCTAACCATAATTCCTGTCTTTTTTTTTCGATAATTCCCTTGTTTGAGCTCCTGATGAGTCATTTCCAGAGGAACAGTGAAGAAATGAATCGTTTTATCCCTTTCAGAGCGTCTAGAACAACCAAATACACAACAAAACCTGCCCATGTTTCTCCGATGCTGCTGAAGTCAATGGCATATCGTGCCCGGTGTAGATACCGATGCCATGGGGACACGTGACGGTGCAAAGCCTCTATAGCCTACAAAAATAATAAATGCACAGAAATTCTAGTACTGAGTGAATAATTTTGACTGAGAAGGCCTATATTGAGTTATTTTCTGTGTTACAATGTTGTTTCCTCATCAAAAAAATGTACCCAAACTAATACACTAGTATATTTGTTATTTTTATATTTAGGGTGAGTTCATCTCAAACAGAAAACACGCTGTTCCACCTTGTGATGTCATGTGGTAATACAGGAAGTGCTCCACTGTGTTTTTAAACTCCATACACCTTCCCTAGACTCATTTGGATAATTTCAGCTGTGGAAATTCCAGTCTCTACAGAAGGTAAAAGGTAAGTGTTAACTTTAAAACTACACAACACTTACATGTCCCTACATCATAATAATAAGCTCAGAATCCACACAGTCTATGAAAACATTCACATATTTAAGTATTAAATTTCTTGTCAATTACATTGCCTTTTATGTTGCCATCACAAAATTCTAGAGACGGGACAAGATCTGGTGCCACAAGATCTTACGAGATAAAATTGCCACAAAATTGTGCACAGATGCTGAAAATTATGAGAGATTTTTTCCCATGTTTTTACGTTTGGATTGGATAAAAAAAGAAGCTGTAATCGCAAAAAGCAGTGCTACAGAAAAACTAATAAATCGAGTAAAATCAAAAACAGTGAGAATAAAATGGGAACTGGATTGCATAATTTATTTATAGTAAATTATGTCAAAATCTCGTCTTGTCTCGTTCTCGTAAATCCAATCTCATGTCTCGTCTTGTGGAAATCGTCCCAAGCCTACAAATTCCTCATTTATATCACCCTGCCCAAGTGTGTGCTCTTGCTTTGATATTTTATATGAAGGAAACTCCTTGTAATCATAAAATAGGATATATATTCTCATAAAACGTGTGAAATGAAAAGACAGAATTCTCTCCATGTATCAAATAAGGCATAATTATATAAATGTAAATACTGAATTGTATATACATTTATGTAATTATGTCTTATTTGACACGTCTCTTGTTATCTTTTTTGCTACTTATTTAGAATTTATTATTACCATTCATATGTTTTGCTCTTTGTTATTATATTATATTGTGATGTGTGAGCTCCTGTGTCCACGTAATTTCCCTTGTGGATCAATAAAGTTTAAGTTTAAGTCTAAGGTTGTTTAAGGTGAGTGTTTATTCTCCTTAAGTTTCTATTTAATTTGACTGTGGACATTTCCTGTAAATGCAATTACGTGGGGCTTGTCTTGTTATTAAAAACAGGTTTGTGTAGTTTTGATGACGTTTTTAAAGCATTTTATAGAATACAATAGAACAGAATAGAAAGTCTTTATTGTCATTGCACAGTATAATTAAATTCAGAGCTGCTGTGTCAAAGTGCAAGAAGAATTAAACTAAATAAATTATGACACTGTAATTGCTGTTGCGAATGACAAAAAGTTCAGGATAGGTAATTTTATTTTATGTAAGAGTAAATATATCAACATACAATTTAAGCACATGAAGCAGTTAAATAAAATAACAGAAAAGCTCAAACACAGTCTCAGTGCAGTTAAAAGTGAGGAGAACTCAGGTAGGATAAACCAAGCAGATCCAACTGTCCTTAACTTCTGTCCTTGAACCACACAAGCTGCACTTCTTTGGTCAAAATCCAAAAATATTGAGTTTAAAATGATAGACTGAGCGCATTCCTGGGTGCAGCTGAAAACCCTAAACTAGATTTAGATTCTTGAAATTAAGAGTGAGTGGGAGTGTTCCTGGATCACAAAGCAGGCACTGTGTTTTTACCAAGTCTCTCAGACCAATAAACTCATCCGTAAATTTGAGCCAGGATTCACCCAGCCGCTCTACGCTGGACTGGGAGTTTATTATGATGGGGTAACAGCTAAAATGTGTGTCAAAGAGAGCAGCATCAAGACAGAGCCACCAGACACAACTAAATATCTTTAAAGGACAACCCCCTATGAAAGGTTTTATTTAACAAACTTTATCAGTTTCAGAGATCATGGATTATTGTTGTACATTAGAATGTAAACATTATCAAAAGTAGAAGAAAGCCAGAGACCTTTACTGGATTTACAAAACTTCAAGATTGACGGGAAAAGTGGATTTCTGCAGCTAATCAAACTGTACATTAATTAAGCTATGAATTTATTTTTACATCAATATTGGGGATTTTTATTTGCTTTATTTGAATGATTCAACCATTGTCTCTGTTATTTTGCTTAATGTAAACTGACATCTTAGAAATGTGGATTGTAGAAAATAAAATCACAAACTTAAATTAAATCAGTGTTTTTTGTGTGTTTATACATTGACATAAGTGATTTAGCTGTGAGGCTACAACATCTGCACATTAGAACACATCTTGTTTCCCATTTTATCAATTTCACATCATTTAATAGTATTTCTAAAAGGGGGGTCTTTTTAAAACCGGTACCTAAAGATGCCTGTACCTCACAGCTTTAACTAGGTTGCATGCTCCAGTTGAACCACTCCTTGGGCTTGTGTACAGCTGTGTCTCATTTTCGTGCATGCACTACTGACTGCATACAGCAGGGGGCAAGTTTTTTTGTTTTTTTTTTATACAGTGTCTATTAAACTGCCAGTATCAGTAAATGTTACAGAGCTTTACAGTATATTTTTCACACAAATCTCCAGGAACCATTTCTGATGATATAAGAAGGTGAAAAGTAAACAAGACGTCCAGTTATTTCAGTTAAGGCGAAGTCTATGTGCTTTATTACTCTGCAAAATAACAGCCATGTTGTGTAATGTAATGTTTAATCAGAATAATTTAAGATTCATTTATGATTTATGACTTTCATTTAAGGAGTCTCTGTCTGATGTGGTCACGTGACTCTGCTCCCTGCTCTTGTGTCGGTGAGAGTGCACCAGCTATAAACTTCTGAGGGCTTTTTCTTTTTTTTCAACAATATATGTATACTTTTTTTTTTACATTACACAGAAGAACAATCTCTCAGACACACACCTGTGTATGTTTATTACAAAACTATAATTAGTAACCAAAGTGAACAGGAATTTCAGGTCACAGTCCAGTCTACAGCCGGTCTCACGAGTTCTAATCACATTGATCTGAAGATAAATTCATGTCTGAGACACACTGTCAGCTCCAAAGCAAAATCTGCCAACATCTGTTTAGCCCAGTGCAAAACAAGCAAGAGCCCCGTAGTTATTCAGTTATAAAATTAATCCTCATGAATGCAACTTGCCTAATAATTATGCACACAGTGTAAAAATGTGGCCGTTACCATTTGTTTTGTACGTGAGCAAACACATGAGAAATGAGGCCCATGTCCACAGCAAAAAATATGTCTGCGTGTGGTTTATGAGCAGACAGTATTATATTATTATGTTTCAAAAGACATTACTGGTTTCACCTGAAACTACTTGATGGGAATTTCATAATATAATCTTTTAATGTTTACATAAACAAGATGAGATTTAATGGAGGAGACTGACTTTGTGGTTTTCACTTTCGTTTCACATGAAAAGCCAAGTCATAGTTTCCATTTCCCAACTTCTGCCACTTTTATTTACTAAACCTTTGGTAAATTGTTTCTTGTTTCTGTTTTCAACTGCCAATTTCTTTATTTTAGTCTTCAAAGGTGAAGTAGTAAATATTAAAGGTAAAGTGTATCGGTGCATCACTAATAGCAGCATAATCAGAATGTACATTGATACAAGCACAGAAAAACATAGAAAAGTCCTTTATTATGGTTTATGCTGGGTGTACACTGTGACATATTTCGGCCTCTGAGGTACTTTGAGCAGGTGTCAAGCACAATGTCAGATCTGAATCGCACTTGAGTTTTCAAAAACTGGCACAAACAGTAACTGAAGTGGATGTTCTCCTACCACAAAATCCTAAATCAAATGATGAGTTTTTACATTATTCGCATCAGCTGACTTTGGATCAAAACACGGCCAA